CAGTCCTCCCTGATCTGTCCTGCTGACCTCTGCCCACCCCCTCCTCCCTCCCTGTGTCCTCTGTTCTCCCGTCTCCCCATCCGCCTTTCCTTCATTTTTGTTACCTGCCTGTTGTGCGCCAGAATGTAGAGATTAATATCTCACTATTTCAGCAGAAACTCCTAGTCAGACAGGGAGCTCAGAGATGTACACCAACCATTTCAGTACAGGGCCAGGTGTAAGATGCTACGGGAGCATTGAATAAGGCATGAGCCTGGGTAAAGAGACTCTGCTTGAGTTGGGCCTTGACTGATGAATGTGGGAACTGAACTGGGCTGGGGGTGGGGATACGGCTAGGAGGGGAAGAGAGAACAAGAGCCTTTGGGATCAAGGGAACAGCAATACAGAAATACCTGATATTTCTTGGGAAACAGCAAGTGGTTCTGTGTTAGTTGTTCTTTGATTGCAGACCCAAAACAGGGTCTGATACCAGTGAATATGTGGCAGTCAAGCCAAGGAGTCCTCAGTTTGTCTCATGGGAAGTGGGGAGGGAGCCTCTGAGACTGCTGAAGCAGGAGAGAATCACAGTCATATATAATGAGGGTATATGTGTAAAATGGAGAGATTATTCTGGAAGAGACATGCAGGTGGGCTTTGAGGGGCACTAACCATTAGTGTAAGGTTTCAAACTGCTTTAAAGATAAAAAATCTTCATTTGGAGCTCTTAAATATGTGACACAAAGCAGTGTTTTATTAGCATGCATTTATTTTATAATTCCAAATTGGCAATACCTACTTAGTATGAAATCAATCAGTGTGAACAGTGATGTCATTTTGATGAGTATAAGAAGTTGAAGTTAGGGGCTATGCATCAATTACAGAGTTATATTAGTGAATATAACAGATCTAGTTTATTTCCGGATTTTGGTTTTGGCTGCATAGCACCAAGGAATCCTGACTTATTCGGTGAGGTTGTTGGTAATAGCAATGGGTTTTGCACAGCTTGACTTTCAGTCTCAGGACACACTTTAATTAAAAGAGGAAAACTGCATTCAGAGGCCTGTATAAAAATGAATTGATTTTGTAAGCTAAGTTAAAGGGCTGGTGGTCCCCAAGTACCAAAATTGGGTATATATGATGCATTTTAATTATGGTTTAGATGGCTAAAATATGTTTTAAATGAGACTTAAATAAATTATTTGAGAAACCCCAAGCCACATATGGAAACTGAAGACACACGAGATTATTCCTCCTCTGAGTGAAGGGTATTATGTGTCTTATTTGTGTTGGTCATTTACCGGGTGACAACAGCTGGTCCTCCCATGGCCAAAGTTGAACAATTAGGGTTACATTAATACACATTTCTTCAGTTGGATGTTGACAGGCACTTCTCTCAAAACTGGCAGAGCGGGAAGGTGGGGTGGGTATATTGGGTTCATCTTTCCTTTGGACAGCACGTGACATCTGTGTAATCTTGGTACTTGTCTGATCTGTGATTTGTGGGCATTGGGAGAACCCAAGTGAAATGTCAGTTTATCAAAAGACCTCATGTCCGTTTGGAAACTTCTACCCGTGTATACTCTTCACCTTTGCAACAATCCTATGAGATGATCACGATCATTATCCCCATTGAGGCACAAAGAGGTGAAGTGGCTTGCCCAAGGTCAGAGAGCTAGTAGGTGGCAGAGCTGCGCTTTGATTCCATAGTCTGTCCCTAGAGCCTGCATACCAGTCACTGTGCTGTTTTGTCCTCTTCAAGGTGAGAGTTTGCATTAGACCCCTGAGCTCAAATACCTTTTAATTGGAATGAACATTGCATTTGTCCAACGCTTAACTGACTGAGCCACCCAGGCATCCCGAACAAAGTTTCTTCTCCCGATGTTCAGGATGGGCTTTTAGCAGAAATTGTGCAATATGCAGTATAGGTGGGGAAAGGGACTTACCATATGTGTGAACTTTGTTGAAATGTATTCTTTGGAGATGGGCTTGGGCCCTATCATGAAGCATCAGGTATCATGGAGTCAGGAAACTGTCCTAGGGGGTCTGTGAGCCAGGCAGCCTCTGTCTCCCTGTTAATTGCAGGATCCAAGATACCAAGTTACTGGGTGGGACAGACCCAGTACAGAGAGGGTGGTGGGATGCTGAGAATTTGGGTGAGGGGTGGTCCTGGCTCCCAGGTCCTCCTCAGGTCCACCCTTTTCTGGCATTGGTCCTTCCAAGTAAAGAGAAGCAGCCCATTAAGCCTCCGCCGAAGGTAAGAGGTTGAGAAGCTTAAGAGGAGATTGTAATGAAAGTGAGCTGGCAAAGCGGCTAAATTGATAGGAAACAGCAGGGTGGGGGCAGCCATTGCAAAACCAGTCTATTAAGACAAGGTCCTGAGAGGCCAGGCTGGATTTTCTAGAGAACAAATGCCAAGCTGAGCAGACTGAGTAAATGAAGACACGTCAGTCAGGGCTGCATGCATTGGCAGGAGCAGCACACACTAGAAGCAGGTCATGCATGGTCAGGGTGGCAGGTGACCTGTTGGCTGGGTCTCAAAGCTGAATTTGGAAGAGTTTATTTCAGGATGAACAAAAGGAATCTCCTGCTAGCAGAGCTTGTTATCTCTGGTGTTCACAGCAGAGCATGAAAATCACATCAAGGAAGGATTTAAATGAGTTCTTGGAGCACGGAGAGCAAAAGGACTAGTGAGGGGAATAGAGAAGTTCAGGGGAGCTGCTTGACCTTGTGGGATCACCACTGGGAAGTTCAGCAGCCTTCCCGGACTCCTGGTGGCCCTGCGCACCCAAGTGAACACAAGTCATGATTGCCACGTGACCCTCTGCTCAGGTTCCAGTGTGCTGTACCCATCCCTGGGGTTAGTCTGAGCTTCATGTTCAGAGATCTCATACCCCTACTCACAATCCACACACCTCCAGGTGTCAACTTGGAGAGAGCGTGCTGAGCTCAGCCCTCTCCATGAGCAAGGAGCTGGTTCCAACCTAACCGCGGCTCTGAGAATGAGTGTGTCGTCTCTTTCCATGTGGCCAGACCACTGCTCCTAGTTGAAAAGAGCAGGGAGGGAACCAGTGCTTTGGGGACACTTCCTTTGTATCAGGCGCTGAGCCAGACATATGAACTACACGGTTCAGTACCGGCTCCCTTCACTTGGTCCTCATGCTACACCTCCACCACCTTGTGATTTTCCAGGTATGCACTTTCCTGGCCCAGGTCTGTCTACAGCTCTCCAGTGTCCTCAGGATAACATTGGAACTCCTGAGTTGGGTACACACACTCCAGCAAAATCCAGGTCCTCCCACTTCTCTAGTCTCACTTCCCTCGCTCCCTCTCTTGGATCCTTTGCGGTACGCAGCCACCTGCAGCTTTTGGTGTGTTCTGTCATGGCTGCCGTGCCCCTGCCACGTGGGGCTCTTCCTTCACGACAGGAGGATGGGATTTGCAGGGGAACCACAGTCATCAGTGGTTCCTCTCAACCCTGACTGTGTGTTAGACTCACCACAGCAATCACCCTAAAAAATAAAAATCACCCTAAAAATACCAGAGATAGGCCCATTTCAGAAATTCTGATTTAATTGCTCTGGGCTGGGGCTCAGACTTAAAACTTTTTTTGAGGGGCGCCTGGGTGGCTCAGTTGGTTAAGCGTCTGCCTTCGGCTCAGGTCATGATCCCAGAGTCCTGGGATCGAGCCCCGCATCGGGCTCTCTGCTCAGCGGGGAGCCTGCTCCTCCCTCTCCCACTCCCCCTGCTTGTGTTCCCTCTCTCGCTGTGTCTCTCTCTGTCAAATAAATAAATAAAATCTTTAAAAAAAAAAAACTTTTTTTGAAAGCTCCCCTATTGATTCTAATGTTGAGGATCGATAAACTATGTGATCAAAGCTACAGAAGGCTGAGGAGCGAGCTGGTTTTGCACGTAGGCCTACCATTGAGGTAGGAGTAGAGGTGGAACTGTCTCAGAATTGACCAAGTCAATCCTGAACATTCTAGTCCCATGTTAAGGGAATAAGGGACAAAGCCTGAGGGAGGACAGCTCACTCTCCTGCTTCTACAATCTTGAGTTTATGTTGAAATCAGCACAGTGCAGCTCTGATCAGCTAGAAAACCAAGGTGAGAACCTACAATAATGCTAAGATAGGTCTGGATCTAGGATATTCTGGATCCTTCCACTCACTGAGGGGCTCAAGTTCATTGCCCTTACCACATGCAATGCTCCCCTCTCTATCTCCTTCTTCCACACTTCCACCCTAAGCCGGTGATGGAGATGCACAGAGTCCTGTGACCAGGAGTGAGGCTTCCTCAGTCTTAGCTGTATGCAGGTGGGCTCATAGAGGGTGAATGTCTCACTTGCCAAGTTCCAGACATGTGTGTCTCTCTAATTCTACCTGGACTTTTCCCCACTAGGTCCAAGCAGAGACCTCTCTCAGCCTGCAGACCTGTGGTTCTTTAGCATGTATCAGAATCACCTGGAGGGATTGTTAAATGCAGTTTCTGATTCTGTAGAATGGGGTGGGGGGAGGGGCTTGAGAATTTGCATCTCTAACAAATTCCCAGGTGGTGCTGATGCTTCTGGTCCTGGCGGCACATTTTGAGAATTTCTGCTTTGAAGAACAGGTCCTTTCGGTCTGGATTCTCTGGGTATTAACCCAACTTAGGGAGTAGCAAATCCTGGCATACTCCTGGAAATCCAGGGTATAAAGCTGTGCACTGCCCTCTCCTCACAGAAATCAACAGACCAAACATTTTCCAGCTTCCTCTAGCATCTCCTTTAACCACTACAAAATACAATCCTTGTCCTTCTGAATATTGACTATTTCTTTTCTCCTGCTTCTCAGCTTTTTCCTCTTTTCTGGCTCTCGTTTTCTATCTTTTCAAACATTCCAGGCTGTTTTATGACTTGGCTGTGCCATCGCATGTGCTGAAATCTGTGCCCAGGATTTCCTTCCCTTCTCTCTGTCTGGCTGTTTTATTAGCCTCTTTTGGTTAGAAGGAATTGCTACTCACTCAAATTACTTCATTTTATAGGGACTTTATTTTAAAGATCCCGAGAGAGGCTGAACAGATCTCAGGAAGAGCAGAAACAGGTGGGTGGTTCTGATTTCAAGGTGTCTGAAGGGACATCAGCAGCAGAAATTTGTGTGCGTTTCCTCTAATGTTTGGCCACTAAGTGACTCAGCAACTCTGTGTTTCTACTCCTCATTCTTCTTTCTACCAACTAACATGCTTCCCCGATACTCTATATTTTTCATCCGCTTTATAGCTTCTGTTTGCTCTTCCTCATCTTATTCAGTTTCTGTTTCCTTATAACTTTGGCTTGAGCCATGGCTCATGTTCTACCTCATTGAGATTCTTTCAAATAGGGCTACTACCAGGGTGTTCAGTTTAAAGCACTTCTAGAATGTTGGAGGAGGGACCTCCAAAAATCTTCTTCATAAAAGCAATGAGAACACTGGCAAAAATAGTCAAAATCAACTGTTCTAGAATTCTGGAATATAACTAAGATATACAACAATTTGAGAATAGTTTACTCAAGAAGTGGCCAAATGTCAGCAAGAACACCATGTTTTTGTAGTATTTTATCTTGTCCTATTCCCATCCCTCTCTCCCCAGCACCACAGTAATCTCGGAAACCAGCAGCCTCACAAACTATGTTTTCTGTGAAAAGCAGCATCTTAGTAGCCACAGAAGAGGGCAGAATGGGTTCGGACTCTCCAAAATACCCTATGCCCAAAGAAGTATTATTGTTTGAGTCATATGGAAGCTCCCTGGAAGAGAACCATTCTCAAGGCTTGTCTTTATTTGACCCAACTCAGAGTTCAGACCTGTGGGACACCATCAAGTCACCAACATTTACATAATGGGAGTCCCAGAGGAGAGGAATGAGAGCAAGAGACAGAGAGAAAATCTAAAGGAATAATGGCTAAAAACAAATTTGATTAAAAACATTAATCTAGCCATACAAAAGTCTGACAAACTCCAAGAAGGACAATCTCCAAGAGATTCACACCTAGATGCATTATAGTCAAATGATCAAAAGCCTAAGACAGAATCTTGAAAGTGGCAAGAGAGAAGTGACTCATCATTTACGAGGGATCTCCATGGGGTTAACAGCTGACTTCTCATGAGAACCCATGGAGGTCAGAAGGCAGTGGGATTCCGTGTCCAGAGTCTTGAAAGAGAGATTGCCAGCCAAGAAGTTTATATCCAGCACAAGTATCCTTAAAAAATGAAGGTGAATTTAAGACATTCCCAATCATGTCTTCTTTTGACTTCTTCAGGTGCTTTAGAATATGATCTCTTTCAGCGTTGACTCCACTCCAGTGTTCTATACACTGCCACCTGCAGAGAGGATAGATGAAGGACACACAGGTGGAGGAAGATGGAAAGTCTCTTGTCTTGGATGGTTGAAGACTAACCTGAAAGAATATGATGTCACCACATCCACCAGAATCAAGAGAAGACATTGATAAGAAGGGCTTATTGGCATGGTGGAACCATTATCTCTAAAGCTGTTGAAGGAGATGGCCCAGCCTTTCCCAGAGGATGGTGTGACATGTGGTGCGGAGCTTGCAGAAAGCAGAGATGCTAATGGTGGGGGAGCATGGGTGGCCCCACTGTCCTTGGGTGCTGTAGACTGAAGAGAGTACCATGGATGAACACAGATGGATGAGAGCTGACACATGAGCCCAAGGATTGGTGATGGACCTTTGGTAGGCCGAAGCCCCAAACTCATCTTGTGTCTGACAGGAGTGAATGTCACCAAAAGAAATATGATGATACCATCCTGATCACCTAACCTTCTGTAATCCCGTGAAAGAAACACTGCATTGACTAACAGAAGCAATCCTCTTACCAGGCTGCCCTCCTGGAACCAGGACCCACCTATGGTTGCCTGTGACAACCACATTGCTCTGAGTCTAGAGCTGTCAGGGAATCTGTTAATCCCACATACGAGGTAGAAGGTCTGTGAGGTCCCCAAAGGGAAGAAACAGAGAACAGGGCCTTTGCAAGTCCTAGTCCAGGCTTGGGGTACTCCATCTGGATGACACTGCTAGCCTCCCTCACCACAGGTCTTACGCATGAGAGAGGAGGTACTGGCCCCCTTGAGGTGTGAGGCCTGCCCAGGACAGGGCCCTGCTGGCTCTGATCTTAGGGTGCTACTGTTCTCACATTCACTTCTCCCTGCTAGCTACCTTGACGGTTAAGTGTTCCTTGGTTTAAATGATTTCAGAGAGGGAATCTGGTTGTCCTAGCTAATCACTTTTGCTCTAGCCCAGTAGTACTCAGAGTATGGTCTGAGGACCCCTGGGGTCTGAGACTCCTTCAGGGGATCTGTATGGTTAAAACTCTTTTCGTGATAATACTCAGATTTCATTCGCCCTTTCCGTAGTGTTGACACCTCAAAAACAGTGGTGGATAAAACTGCTGGTGCCTTGGTACAGGTCAAGGCAATGCCACCAAACCATTGTAGTGGTTTCTCACCGTATTTTTCACTACCACATACTCACATTTGGAAAAAAAAAAAAACAACTCAGTTTCACTAAAGAGTATCTTTGATGAAGCAGTAGAGTACTGATTTTATTAAACCTTGACTTTTGAGACAAGGTATGTATGTCTTTTTTTTTTTTAATTTTTTAAAAAAGTTTTTATTTATTTATTTGAGACAGAGAGAAT